ATTCGAAATAAATGAAAGCTGTATACAGATGTTAGCAACAGTACCTTCTTTCAAATCAAGAAGGACAAAATAGATAAATCATTATCTGAACCTCAAGTGTTCCATGTCGCAAGGTGGTGAACACCACATAAACAATGCTACATCAGCTTCTGTTAAAATGATTGAGAATTGAGGCCACTGAAGACCACAAAAGATTACATGCTTCTAATGGTGATGCTATTAAAAAGACAATAAAATGTCCAAATTTAAAACAACCTGTAATGCAAAATACTGGTTCTATAAAGTATTTTATTATGGCTGTCAAAACGTATTTAATAGCAAGCATTTCTAAAATATTTCCACAGTGTCTGTAATAAGGTTCTCGGTAATTAATTGGAAACACCAAAAAAGCCTCCCTCTTCTTCGGATATTCAGACAGGCTTCAAATTACATATGGAGCATTGCAAATTATTTCATCTGAAAACATGTAGTGGCTACGAAGGAAAGTGGCAATGGGGACTCAGGAACTGTGGATTCTGTTTCCAGCCCAGCTGTGCTACTGCTCCTGTGCCTGCAAGTAAATTACCAACCTTTTTGACCCAAAGTCTTCATTGAACATCTAGCTCACAGTGACGTTGTGGGCATTAGTAAACTTGCAGTGTGTCTGGAAAGTCTCAGCTGGAGCTAAACAAATGCAAAGCATTGCATATTTTCTTTAATGTGTTTCTAAAATATGTGAATTTTACAGACATACTAAGGTGTTTTATTTTTTCCCCCCCTGAGACTTCAAAGTGGGTTAGTGGAAGTAGGTGTATATGTTTGGGCCCCAAAGGTCAAAATATATCTCTTTGCTTCCATATTTTTTTAAATTAAGAGAGAGCTGATCCCAGGTATTGTTACTGCCAATAATTCTCTGATGATAGGCTTATAAATTTACTGGGGGGAAAGAGAGAGCTGTGTTAGTTACAATTTCAGATATGTCTGTGCTGATCGTGTCGGACTGCCACAGAGGAGAAATGGGACTGTATTGCTAATGAGACAGATAGATAAGTCCTCAGCAATTACAATTATACCCTTCTAAATGTCTGAACTATCAATCATCAATGAAAGCAAACTGGTGCCTTGCTGGTCCGGAAGAATCCACTTACAACTGTCGGAAACCAAATCATTAATAACACAGGAACCAATTTCTGCCCCTCCTCTCTGCTCAATCAGCAATATTATAGCAGAGGAGAACTGGGAAAGGGAGAAGCCAACAGCCGAAACTTGATTTCTTAAGATATAATTTAATGTCTTCTCTCAAGTTAAAGTGAACAATAGCATGGTCCGAATTGCTCGACAGGAGACTGTATCGAACAAGAAGCCACAACAGATGCAGAACAAAAGTGAAGGAGAAAGTTGGGAAAAGAAAAATTGATATAAACCACAGGGGGCTTCTTGGCTGTAAAGGGCCAAGTATGATATTCCTTATTAAGTTTTCCAAAGTATGGCACTTTTTAAGCCATTAATTTTTGGGAATAAACGACGGTTTAACATTCTATTTAAATGAAATTAAGCCCACTGTGTGAAAGACAACTTTTGCTAAAAGAAAATATAAAATTTAGTGTTATGACTGACAGACAGCAAACCAGACTCTAGAAATGAACGTTTTGCATGCGTGTGTATTCAGTCCTTCCTAAATTACAAATGCTAAGAAATAAAAAAGCACTCCTGATAAAGACATGGATTTATCATCCTAGGTCTGTTTAAGAACTACATAATCTTGAAGACTGATCGGCAGGTTTTTTCCCTTGTGACACTTCAGTTTGGCAGTGTTAAACATCTGGCGGTCTTCAATGTGTATTTCCACATTTCAGTTGCATCTAAAGAAATCTCCTGGATATACTAATATTTTCTTTTGTAATAAAGAAAATAATCTGATAACGGTTAAACTTAATTTACTGGGGCAATATTCAAAGCCTTAATTTTGGTTTAGCGTAAGTGTTTGTCAGTCTTTTTATTACACATTTGAGAACACCCAGCAGACACACCGAGTCCTAATTCTCTAGTGCTGTTTACCCATAGAGTCTCCTCCACCTGTAGAAAAATGGTCCCAAACCAGCAGGTAGTTCTCGTGCCTACTTTGCAGCCACTTTAGCGAGAGATGAGTGGCTGGGAAAAGAAGTGGAAAATCAGGTTCTGCATCTTCAATTTAAAAAGTGTTAATTAGCCTCAAGCCTTAGTTCACTTGTAATTGTTAGGGTATTAGAATCCCTATCAGCTGATTCTTCTTTCGCTCCTTCCCCATCAAAGTACTTCATTATACATTCTCCTGATGTCTTCCCGAGTCTCTTCCAATCAGTCTTCAAGTTTAATCATCATAAGCCAGAAATGAGGCTGATTGCGGATGTTGATTCCAACATCCTTGGTCACAAAAATACGTCTTTTTTGCTGCTAAAGAGTAATTGAAAGCATCTGGGAATGATCAGAGACTGGAGCAGATGGCTTGCTGTCCTGGAACCCATGCTGCCAGAAGGGGGAACCTGCTGCACATCCTTGAGAGAAACCCAGGCGTACAAACCACATGAGGCTCCAGGAGCTAAAGGACAAAGGTGTCAGTCTCGAGGCCCTCGCTTTGTTTTCTTGTACTTTGATACCACTTCAGCCGAGTTACACCAAGTTTACAGACTTCCAGCAGAGAACAGAAACATGTTCGCATAGCTATCCGGTGCAGATCATTAAAAAAAAATCAATTTTAAGACAAGGGTCAGATTAATGAAGGGAGGATTAACCCTTCCCAAGGCCTTGCAAATGGCATAGGCTACATGTTGCAGAGTGAGCAGGAGGCTCCTGCTTTGTGCTATCCAGCTTGGTCCTCCTGTCAACGTTGCTGATACACATGTACTTGATTAAAGCTCTTTAGCTCTTTAATGATTATTGACCAAAGAGCTCATAAACTTATTTCAAGGCTGCTGCCTTTTAATTTAATACTGCTTACAGTATGAACGTTTGGGCATGTGCAGCTCTGAAAAGGCTTTTTTTTTTGCCTTTTTACATTATAGGGAACCAATAACACTAAAGCACATGGCATGGTATTTCATTTGCACATTGCATCATTGTTGTGTGACATCAGCGTGCTACCACAGTGTCGCGGAACCAGGGAACGCTCTGCCCAGGACCTGTGACATTACGATTCCCGTTTACACTGCTGACGCACAGCACTAAGCCTGCGTCTCGCTGAACGGCTCCGAAGGGCCCGTCCGGCCCTCAGTGAGCAAACACTCCCCAGACCAGCGCCGAAGCGAGCATCAGTATTGCTGCTGTTACTGTCACAACGCAGAAGCGCCCCCACGTAGACCCAACGGAGCAAGCCGAGAAGCAGGGGTCGGGCCTGCTGCGGACAGCAGGGCCCCAGGGGCCGCCCCGGCGCCGCACCAGAGGGGCTGCGGCGGAGGAAGGGGCGACCCTCTTCCCCGGCGGCCTCGCCCTGGCAGACGCGCCGCCGGCAGGGGCCGGGGCCCGAGGCCGCCC